CAGCCCTTTCATTCCGATCTAATCTCATCAGAATTCCACGAAAACCTTTCATCTACTCGATGTTCTATTTGCAAATGAACGGCCTTTGGATATGAAGTGGGGAATGCGTGTCGAGAGAAAATGAAGCGAAGGTACTTTTATCCACGTGCTGCTTGGGAACGGGCAGCGTGGCACCGACCATTCCATCGCGGTATATCGCTGAATGCCCCACGCCTGCACTTACGTTATACTACTGCAGAGTGAAACAGTCCATTTGGAACTGCATTCTGCTGGGATTCCCACGGTTCAAGATCTTTTGCCCATTCATCACTGTCAGAGAATAGCAAGTTGAAAGGTGGATGGAAACTTGGCGTGAGAATGAAAGGGGTGAAGGATAATGCGAATGGAGGGTGGAGGATAGTGCGCGGCGCGCAGAAGGAAAAATCCACGGGAACACCCTTTGAAACGATGGTGATGAACCCACCAGGAAAGGAAAACATGAACAAATTTGTGTCATTTACGATAACAGGGCAGGACTACAGAAAAGCGGTCCCTTTCTGTTCCGAAAAAGATGTCAACAAAGACCGGTTCCGACTGGTTGTTTGGAGTCTCGTCCGAGCACTGTCGCGTTCAAAAAGCATCCGTAGACCATCGGACGAATCGCCTCGCCCTGCCGATCCAAGCCTCGATGTCGCAGCACCGATTAATTGGAGGTGTGCCGGTCCTCTTCCCGCGGGGAGGTGGGAGCCCGGGCGCCCCCAGTGAATTCTCTTTCGGAATCGGTGGGATCCCGTGATTGCAGGACGTTGCCGAGTCCGAGCGAGTCGGCGCCATGCAATCGACTCCGACCGGATTCCCTCTCTTGACTCCGAGCTCATCCTATATGGAATTTCATAGCCGCGAGGATTTCACTTCCGAGAGAGAGAGACTCGAAACGAAGATGGAAACGCATGAGCTCGCTGGCATCGATTCTCTGAAGAAGCGTGACAGTGTGAACATGCGAGACAACGAGAGCTGATCGAAAGCCTGAAAAGGATCGGAACCAAGCATATGGAACCCAATCTTTCTGCCCTGCTGCTTCTCGGGCCAATTTCTCAAGAGAACCATCTGCCTGTCCGTCAAGGTCGGTCCAGCTGTTACCAACGGCAGTAGGTTCTTTAAACGAAGTTTTATTTCTCTCGGGGGTGCACAGTACTTGATATATCACGTGAGCGTCGAAGAGTCCATCGATCAATCTCGGGTTTTCAGAAGCAATGCATTAAGGAAAGAGCAAGAGGTCGCGGGAAAGAGGGCCTTTATCTGTCTTGAGCAGTCAACTCTCAACAAGTGTTCTGGGAAAATTGGTCTCAACTTCTACGATAGATTTCTCAGAAATAAAGGGGGGAAAACGTGATGGATGCGAGACATGCGGTTACTTCAGAGTGTTTGCTCTTGATCGTTCCGAGATCGTTCCTTTCGCCCTTTCCTTCACTTTTTCGTCTTGCTGTCCTTTTCGAGTTTTTGAAGACAGAAATAATATTTTCATTGTGTGAAGTTGCCGGAATCGAAGGCATGGCAGTTTTTTTATTCCGCGGAAGTAACATCACTTTGAGACTTGCCGTGTCTTTCGTCTGCTCTCTCACTCGAGTTTAGTTTTCATGGATCTCGGACCCGCAAAATTTCAGCGTCCTAACCCAATAAAAAAATTGTTATCTGGCCATCGATGGTCTTTCGTCAACGCGTATGTATGTTTATGTATGAGCCATCACTGGCATACGGTTAGCTTCCTGTTGGTCTAAGCCGGTTTATGATCAGGCATGTCCTGTTGGCCCTTCATCGGGCCAACTCTGAATCGTCGTTGGGTAACCGCACATGCTCCAGCCATACGACTTTTTACAATGGTGAAAAGATGTAGGAATAAACCCACATAAACTGTATCTACAGCATCACGCATCTTGCAGAGATAAGAATGCATCATTTGGACTCCTGCTGCTCGTTCACCTTGGAGAGGTGAAGGAGCAGTACTTTCCCCAGGTATACGTCTGTCGCCAAGAGCTGAGAATATTTCAAGTGAAATCCCTTTCAGATGCTGAGGCATCCAGGAGCAGAAACACATGGGAATGCAAGGGTATCAGCCCTCCCTCAGTAGGCCAGACATGCCTCACTCTTAATGAGTCTCAACGTCTGGGAGTGGAGAAGGCAGGTCGCGTAGTTTGTCATGGAAAGTAGAAGGATCCTTCCACGGATCTCCGGGCCGGAATTTCCTGGTTCATTCCAAGGCTAGGTTACATCTTCAGAGAAATGTTTAAAGGAATTCCATCGTTTTCCTCTGAGATCTGTGAGAAACCATAGGGAATTGTGTCAAAGGAACAGGGAACTCGTTCGAGTAGAATCCGGGAAATGACTCCCTACTACGACCACTTTGGCTCCATCTCACGCCGGTTTTATGAACCTTCTCAACCACATTGGGTCATCTTCGGCAAATGATTGACTTGTGAGTTGGCCGACCCATCACTCGCCGAAAATGAGCCAACTTTCCCAACTATGGCCCGACGATAAACCAACGAAAATATTTTACTGGGAAGGGTCCACTGAGGGGATTGCCTTTCCCCGGAATGTTGTATGAAAATGGCCAAACGTGTGTCGATGTGGGAAATGCTCTCGGGAATCTTCCGATCCTTCCCTGTTAGTGCAGAAATAGAGACGAGGCCCGGGGGAGATCCATGTCGGAAAACGATCGGAGGATGAGAAAGTGATTGAGATGTCTCTAAGGGTGATGTGCCTGCCTCTTCTGCCTAATTAATCAGTCGCACTCCACCACAAAGCAAGGATATGGATTAGAAATCTACGGGGGGGGGGGGGGGGAGACAGACTCAGGGAAGAATCAGCCAATGAGAAAATATATGACTGGTGGGTTGAAATGAATCTTTGTAGAAGAGGGAGATATTTGTCCTGCTCTCGAGGGAAACTGGTGGTGAACAGGAGGGACACAGCGGAACAGGATTCCCTGTCATCATCCACATTTCTGCTCTGATATATTGATATTTTGATCAGAGTAGAAATGAAATCCTTCCCGTCTTCTCTCTATTTTGAGAGAAGACGGGAAGGGTTTCATTCGTCTCCAGGTCCGCCTTAAATCTATCTCCACGAGCTTAGGCTGTTCTGTGCGTCTGGAGAGGATGAAGTTGCGGTCGAATTTCAAGTTGAAGTCGAGGTTTAGGTCGAGGGCAGGAAGTTTTTCGACTCGGGAGTTCGTTGCATCTTGATGGAATTGTTAACAATTCATGGGGATCCAGATTCCATTTCGAAAAGGCTAGGAGGGATTCTTGGAGGCGCCCTCTGGCTCTTCCCACCGGGAGAGGTTGGGGAGCGGGTAATATCAATAATTTCATTTGATCATACGGATGAGTCTCATGGAATACATGCAAACCAGAGCAAGAGGAACGGTTAGGGACGAATTGAATACTTTGAAAAAGTGAAAGGGGATCACTCATCCTTCCACCTTGTCTAATCGAGCGTCTGGTTCCATTTTTATTGTATATTTTTAATTACTGTCGGAATTTTTTGTTTTTGTTTAGTAATAGTAACGCATACTGGTATGTGGAAACACATGGAGAAGATACAGGGCGAGTATGTTGATGAAATCCGTTCCAAAAAAAATTATTTCTTTTGCGACTTATCAATATGCTCTCGCATCGGCACTGAATGTTACGGTCGGAGAAGGAATAGTTGTCAAAAAATCGTCTTGCCGATTGGCCTTTTGGATCAACATTCTCCGCTATGCCTCTCGCCCTCCCTCCTCCCTCTGCCCTCCGCCCTCCACCCTCCCTCCTCGTCTATGGGGTTTCCTCGCTTTGCTTGCAGGCAAGCGACGTCCGATCGAGAAAGAAATTGTGTTGCTTGAGATTGAGAATGTGACTGGAGCAAGTGATAAATTGAAGTTCCTCGCAAATGGAAGAAGGCCCACAATCTTCCTGGGCTCGCCATGCTTCTCTTCTCAGAATTTATCCACTCTCTTTTCTGTCCTACTGCTTGCACACGATTACAGAATGAATTCCGGTTGGTTCTGCCAAGTAGAACGCGTTTCGGAGCGAGCCGAAGAATTCTCGGACTGGGATGTGTCCAAGTCGAGACTCTCTAAGTGCAAGAGAGGGGAATGCCAGGAAGAATAATCGTGGGGTAAACCGTGGTAATAATTCCACGACTACTCACGCACAACAGGAGGATTAGGTGCAAGGAAAGGGCAGGGTGCCAGCCAGTTTCCTGTCTCCAGTCTGGCCCTCTCAAATCATTAGGTCACGTGCAGCCGATGCTGCACGTGCCAGTGCATTTTCTCACGCCCTTACAGCCTTCTCGGCTGTCCAAATTAAACCAGGGTGACCCTATAAAAAAAAATTCTATCAACTTGTTGATCTTCGGATGCGAGTGTGAGCGAAGGAGAGGTTCGAACGTCAGTTCCGCTGTCAGCTCAACATGCCACTCTGGACTGGGGGAATGCAAGCATGGTGCCACGGTGAGGTCTTGCCAGACGAGAATGCCAGGATGGTCTCTGTCTCTTTCCACGTCGACACGAAACATCCTCATTCGCGCCGACGAACCGTTGCGACGCTATGCGTCACACTACCTCGTGTCATCGTCCCAATGAGCGCCAGTGGAACCAACGGTCGTTCACGAACCTCATCACGCTCGAACCTCATCCAACTTTGGGGGAGGGGAAGAGGGGGGGGGGGAGAGGGGGCACTTTCCTACTTGGAAGACCTTTGTATTCAGGATACGAAATGGGAACGAGATTAGGAAGTCCATGTCTAACTATTTTAAGGAGAGGGGATTGTAATGGTTTTCGTGCGGGTTTGATGAGGTACCCTCATGATTCGCATCCGGCCGATGTCGAGGATGAGCTAGCACGTGAGGGCAATTAAAGACTCCATTCCGCAGACATATTTCGTCATGCTGGGTCTATAGATTTGTGACATGTTTGTCGAGAGGGCAGCTCCCTTCATCGATCTGTACAACATAATAACGGGGAAAGGGAAGGGCCTGATATGAACCTTCGATCCTTTGCTCGGGGCTTCTTTGAGGTCTGCCGCGACCGGCAATCTCGCGGAAGGGGAGAAATCCCCATTCCTTTGATTTATGCATTCAGAGATGAAGTTTCTGACAGACATGAAAAACGAGTCTTGGGATATCGCAAGTCTCATTCCGACGGACTCTTCGGAAAAAAAAAGCGAAAAAATCTTTTCGGTTTCCCCTGTCTTCTCGAATTTTCATGCATAATTTATCGGAAGTGCTCAGGGCAATAAAGCGTTAATGCCATTCAGATGAAAGGAGCCTGGGATGAGAATCCCAAAGTAAACGAAAGAGATCTAAATAATTCAAGGAATAAATAGAAAGTTTTCCCCGAGAATCATTTCCCGGCTCTTTATATTTCTCTTTGATGGAAAAGAAAAGCAATCTCCTAAGTTGAACTCATGAAATCGTCCTGGAAGCCCGTGAACGGGCAGCCATAATTTTCCACAATATTAGTGCATTCCCGACGTTTTGGGAAATTTGACGTTCCAGTGCGTCCTCGGCGGGAGAGTGGAGTGGCGACCGCTGCCGTGCTTCATCGAGGCAGCGGTGTTCGGGAGCCTCGTCGCCCAGCTCCCTTCGGCGTCGTCTGCTATGCTCCAGACGCTCTATAGGGAGGATTGCAATGCCACGCGGGGATCGGTCTTTCGGCTGCAGTGAGGATCTGTACTTGTCTCGGTTTCTTGGTGTCGGGCGGTGATGGATCGGTTTCGTGGTCGTCAGGGCGGGAGCGCCTCTGCAAACGATGCCCTCGAGCGAGAGAGAAAACTTGCAGCTGGAATTGCGTCACTTGGCGGCGGGGAGCAATGATTCGAGGCTTCAACGGCTCTTTATGTGCTCCGTTGCTGAGGGGTTCCTTCGAGAAGCTATCGGTATTTTTGAAATCCCAGTCTCAGGAAACGAAAAAAAGAGAAGAAACAGGAGGTATTAATTAATAATAATAATAATTTCAGAGCTGGGAGAGAACGCAGAAGAGCGGATACTGGTGATCCAGCGACAGATCGACGACTTCTGCCCGGACGACGACGGCGCCGAGGACTACTCCATCGAGCGGGACTCTCACCCCCTTTCATCCGGCGCGGCACTGAAGAGCCTGAAGACCGTGGTGACCGCCTCGATCCCGAAGGCCAACTGGTCGACGGTGCGGTTCACGTGGAGGAGCGGGGGGCTGGACCCGGATCTCCTGGACCACGACGCCTACCTCCAGAGGTTCCAGCAGGCGGCCATTTCCAAGATGAAGGCGGTGTCGCCGTTCGAGGAGCCGCCTCGGTCCGTGCAGGTATGTCGAAGGGGGGGTGGGGGGGCCTGGGAAAACAAAATGGTGGCTGGTTTTGGGGAGCACGCAGTGTGTAGATGTGGGTCGTCGGAGGTTTCGGGAATTAAACTTGCGTTGTAAGTGTGGTTAGATTCTCCCTCTTAGTTGTTGATAGACGTTAAAGGTGAGGAGACTTGAAGTCTGTCGGGAGGTTAACGGGAGAAGAAGACTGGATGGTTTCTTGTCAAAATATCGAAAGGACAAAACATCGACGGAATAAAATATCGACCGCGAGCTCGAAAAGTCGAGACAAGATTATTCTCGACGCTGTCGTGGAACCTTAACAAGATCGTCCGTCACCGAGGCCTCTGAGGAAGACTTGCGGAATCGAATCGACTTGCGGAATCGGATCGACTTGCGGAGTTGGGAGGGGGGGGGGTGGGGGGGGGGCAGATCCGCAGAAATGCGACTCCTTCACGGGCCGGCGAGCAGCTGATGGACCGAGTCGGTTGGTGGGGATCATCTTTCGTCGCAGGACTTTCCAGCAGAGTCGGTTCGTATTTTCGCAGGACGCCACGCTTCCTTTTCCGGTTCCAGGTCTCTCTTGGCCCTTTTGTTCTTGCTTCCCGGGGCGCATTTCCGTCTGGCTGGGGGGGAGTTATTGTGTCCGTTCATTTAACCTGCTGAATGTGAAATTTTCCGTAGCCGTAGGGTATTATTATTATTTTTTTTTTAAATAGAGGAACGGAGTTGCTGGAGTCTTATGACACGCCAGAAATATAAAAGAAAGCAATTTCTTTCTCGTCCGTGTTTTGTCGTTTGAATTTTATGACGTTGAACGTTCTGACGCGTTACCCTTGTTAATGGACCATGCTCGCAATGACAACGCTTCCTTTCTTTACACTTCCGCCTTCAGCTTTCGACGAACGAGGAGCTTTTAAAAAAGTTTATGCCGTTTCCCGTGTCAACGATGGGTTGCGGCCAACGTGTTAAGATCTAAATTACTTTAAATTTAAATAAAGAGATTTGGGATTCGGGAAGAGGAATCGTTCTGGATTGGATGATTTTGAGATGGGGGGTTTCAACGTAATGAAACTTTTTGGTCGAGGAATTTAATTTCGGGGATGTTGGGATGGAGCTCGAAACAAATGAGATGGGATGAATTTTAAATTCGTGCGAATGCGATTGCTTCAGTTTCATGCGAGGGAGGGGTACGCCCTGAGTCCGAGGTCCTTGACGTGTCCTTTGCACGTGGCCACCTTGGAGACCATCAAGGCCGGTCTGTCGCGGAATTTCCCGCTGCTGGTGCTCGGGGGAAGCCGAGAGGAGAAGTTCGCGATTCTCACGTCGCTCGTCGGGGAATTCCCTCGAGGGAAATTCGTGATTCGTCACGTGGGGGTCACCGTGACGTCGTCGTACCTTTCCACGCTGCTTCTGTCGGTGTACGAGGAGATCCGGGAGATGTGTCACGTGGATCTTCCACAGGATTTTCAGTGCGAGGAGAACTGGCTCACGTCGGCCTTGCAGGATCTTTTGAACGGATTCCCGTCCGAGGAATGTCTGTTCCTCGTGATTTGTGGCGTGGACGAGTTGGAGGGGGCGCCAAATTTCGACTGGCTTCCTCTCAAGCTGCCGGAGAACGTGAAAGTGGTCTGTTCCGTGAACGCGGCGGACGCGGATTTCGATCCGGACTTGTACACCGTGATCGTGATGTGCGACCCGCCGACGTCGGGAATCGCGAGCCAGGTGGAGAAGCGGCTCGCCGCCAGAGGGCGGAGGATCGCGGAGAAGCAGCGGCAGGGATTGGAGAAGTGCGTGGCCGCGTCTCGGTTGCGGCCGAGTCCGGAGAATCTGGACGTGCTGGAGGCGTCGCTGGGCCGGCTCGCGTCCTTCGACGACTTCGACGACGAGAACTTCCCGGATCTGGTCCGGCGAGAACTGTCGGAGTTGGACGGGATCTTCGACAAGGAGGTGATGCGGCACGTGGCCATGTTCCTCGGGGCGTCGCGGTACGGACTCACGGAGTCCGAACTGGTCGCTGCCATCTCGTCCGGCGACGGGCTTCAGCTCGATGTCACCGACGTCACCTGGCTCCTGGCTCGACTCAAAACTTGTGAGACTCTCTCTCTCTCTCTCTCTTCGTGATGCCAAAGGTGAAAGGGAATCGTGGGGGCTAATTTGGAAAATGAATCGATTAATAAATTATGCACTGGGTTGCTCGGGGGAATATGGGGGTGTTAACTGCTTCAGCATGGGAAGTGAAAAGTTTGATGTCTGGAGAAACCACGATTTCAACATTATATCAGAAACTCGTTCTAGAGGAAGCGTAATTTGTTCCAACGATAAGAAGAAAAAATGAACCTACCAGCTTATTTCTCCGACTGCTTTGGGATAAAACGGGCAGCGAAGTGATTGAGATTAGCAATCAGTAAAATCACGTTCATTTGCAACGAAATTCCTGAGCATTAAATCGAACAATCCAACTAAAAACTATGGATTTTGGTTTCACACTGCGAAACAATGCAATATTTTCCAAAACAATTCACAGTCCTGGGAGATGAAGCAATCCTGCTCAGCGACGCCAGCATGATTCTCGTGGAACCATGTTCATAACTCTCATATATGCCGATTGGAGTGTTTTTAAAACTTTGTTGGCAAATAAAATACGAATAAGGAGTAAAAATTCGAAAACCCATTTTATCCTGATTGAGGTTCCCTTATTACCCCAAATGACACTGAAAATTTTCTGGGAACCATGAAATGAATTATGGAGTCGATCGCAGCAGATACTGCCTTCCCCTTGAATGACCTTGACCTTGAGTCGATTATGCGGTCCATCACGCCAAAGGGCGTGATGAACCGTACCATTCTAAAATCTGAATACGCGAACACATCTTGTAGCACGAAAGCGTTCACCCTGACGGAGAAAGCATCGCTGCGCGATCAAAATGGGCAACTATTAATAATAAGATTTTTCGTATGGCTGTTTCAATAAAAGCAATGTGAGAGAATATGAACTGCTGCCCGTGTTCCTCGAGTTACCTTATGTAAGGTGTTATCAAACGAGTAATTACCTTAAGTTGCATTAACAGTGAACCCTGTTCATTGTGCTAGATTCTACGCGATGGACTCTCGTTGCTTAAGATGAAATGCACCCGGCTGTGTCCCATTTCGAAAGCAGATAGCATCGAATCTACAGGGGGCTCCTTCCCATGCCAAATTCTTCCAATGCCCAATGCATAATTAACCCTAGACTGGATTTGGCACCGAGTCAAGGACTTCGACCCCTACCAGGTGGCCTGGTGGGGGAGCGCAGCGTGAGCGGCCTGCCCTGCCTGACGTGGAAGACGCGAGAGCTGTGGGAGACGGCGAAGGGGCACTACGAGGTGGGGGAGGAGGGGAGCCGACTGGCGCACAGCTCCCTCGCGTGTCTGTTTCTCTTGAAGTTCCTCACGGAAGAGGACGACGCGTCGCCTCCGAGGCCCAGCGCTAAAGGTCGGGAAAATTCTTCATTGATCTTTCGTGGTGGGGGAGGGGATGATGAAGGGGGTCTAATTACGGTCTTGGATGGAAGCCATGGATTACCTGGAAACGGTTGCCAGGAGAGATCCGATGGGGAGAGGGGGAGATTATGCTCTGCTTGTCCCATCTCCGAAGAAAAGAAGAAAAAAAGTCATTACTTCCTCTCCTCTCTTCCATTCATCATGGAATCAATGACCCGATGATCCCTCTCCATATACGAGTCCATGCCCCTCGATGTCTTTCCTCCCGTTTCCTTCCCTTAAAAAAAGCCAACTATCCACGGAAAATCTGGTTCCGTTTTCTCCTATTTTAGCAGGATTTCATCGTCGAATTCGGTTCGATCGTTCTTGGCAGGGAAAAGGAGAAATGCCTGCCATCCCGCGGGAAAAAGGGAAAAGCGGGCGAGCAGAAGAGAAGGCTGGGCATGTTCGCCTCCACTCCTGTAAAATTCATTTCCCCTACATCAAACAAAGAGCGTTGAGGCAGCCTATCACTCTTTGTCTAATATATCAAATTCCCATCTCCCTTCACCCACGTCTGATGCCAGACGAGGATCCTTTGAAAGAAAAGACTGATAAGCGAAAGGATGAGCATCTGTCGACGGGACCCTTTGAGATTCCAAGTCGATTCGATTTAATACCGTGGTCACGATGAGCAGAGATCGAGTACCGCGTTTGACTTTGAGAATCAAACCGATCGCGATGGATTGAAAAGACTGTTCGACCCGCACAGGTGGGCGCCGCTTGGAGACGGTTTCGGTGTCGCAGGGGCAGCGGAAGCATCGATGCGACCCGAGGCACATCGACGAGCTCTGGAGGCATCTCCTTCAATCACGTGAGGACTTTTTTTTTTCTTGGTCTCTGGGAGAGAGGGGTCGGGAGGGGGATGGGTCAGTTTATATGGAGGTCCAATCACGATTCTTTGTCATCGACTCCCCCTTCGTTAAGACGGATTCCTGCTTCTTCTCCCTTTCTTTTCGCTTTTCTCCTCGAGGAGAGACGAAAATAGAGGGGAAATTCGGGGGAAAGAACTCGGTCGTGGGAAACGAGGGATGAAGCGGAATCCGTCTCATTAGATTCGTTTTTCCTTCAGGGGACCTCACCTACTGCAAGCAGCTGGCGACCACGAACCTGGAGTTCCTTCAGGAATGCTTGAAGACGCTGAGCATCGGGTACGTGATCCAGGTGTTGGAGGGCCTGCGACGGGAGATGCTGGACTGGGAACTGGAGGGAATCCTCTGGACGCTGAGCAGGGCCAGGTTCGTCCTGAGCAGGGAGACGTCGCAACTGGCGCCGGCTCTCATCGCGGCGCTCAGGCTCGTGGCGGGTAGGTCTTTTCCTTTGGTTTTTTTCATGGGGGGGGGGGGGGGGGGGGGGGG